CTGGATTAGCCACTTCGATTTTTGACCATTCCCTTGTTAGATTTTTGCGGGGACTTCACAACAATTACTCTGTATATCAGCCCAGAGCCCAGCATAGAGCCTTGTATAACATCTCAATGGCTCTAACTCCATGTGTGATAATTTTTAAATGCATCAGGCTGTAGCGATAAACCAGAAAATTTTTTCTCATTCAAACTTCTTGATGGGTTTATTAGGTGGGCTGCTAATTAATAGGTAATCTCGGTGAGCTGCAAGTACATTCCAAGCAGTTTTGATGAGTTATGAAACAGAGTTTATAGCACACAAATGCCCTCAGCGATGTAATGACAGCACATAATTTGAAATTTTTTATACAAGGTTGCCCCTCCCAATGCTGATAAAGCGGAGTTCGCAGACTCATGCTCGTCATTGTCTTTTCCTTGTCCCATCATTTGCTACGCCTTGAGAATGGTTTTCCACAGCCTTTATCAATATAAGTTGACTTTTTGCTGTATTCGCAAATTCCCTCGTCAGCTCTGCTAGGCTTTGGGGTATGTCATCTGATATTAGACCAATACGCCCTCAAGTGGCTCGAAGCCTTGCAGAACGGATGTGCGAATTTTGTACGAAAAAAAAAATCAATACGCTTTGACACAGAACACTGTACAACAAATCGTTCAGTCTGACTTTTCAGATTTTTCAACATGGATGAGGACGAAGTGTAAGTGCTTTTATTCCTTTCTCAAAATTTCTTTGTAATGCAGCCGGATTGCATAATATCTGGCTATGTGGTTAAGCTCTGAGATGGAAGAGGAAGTCGAACAAGTCGAGGAGGAGGATGCCGGAGAAGAGCTTGACGAGGACACCGTCGGTGAAGAGAAGTAAGTATTACACTAAAAAGGAAACTTTCAGTTTTAATCAAGAGAATGAGTATTATACCGAAGCCAAAACGTGACTTCGGCACCCTTTGCCTTCTCCTTCCTCGCTAGTATCTCTAGGACCAAAAGCCGACCAGCACAGGAAGAGGAAAAACCGGCAGAGATAACGGAAGCAGAAGCTGCTATGCTTGTAAGTGCAGAAAAAGAAAGAAAATCATTCAATCTATACTTGTTGTAGGGAAAGAAAATCATTCGAT